TTCATGCCTAAATGCACAAATCAATAGAGTTACCTGCCCGATCGCACTCAAGTCAATTCGAACAGCGCAGGAAAAATGAGGAGAGTGGCAAACGTAGCCAATGGGGAGAGGACGAGGGGGGAAATAGGCCGCCGCAGGGACACACTGCTTCAGATGTGCACATGTTATACACTCATATATACAAACACACACTCACTCTATATGTGTGTACTTGCAACAATTTTTTGCATCTTATTTTTTTTAATTGGTTTATTCACAACAGTCTTTTATGAAATAGAGAATTTTATGTTTTCCTAAGGTATGATTTATTATATATTTTTTGCATTTGAAGGTTAGTTTTGCTAGTTGGCGTAAATTTACAGACAAAGCAAAATATATATAGTATATATACAGCTCAATGAAGTGGTCTGGGTGCCAGGTCCCTCAGGTTTTAACCCTTCAGATGCAAACATAGTTTCAGAGAAACTGCTATGTTTACATTTGGGGTTAAGCCAGCCTCTAGTGGCTGTCTTCTGGACAGCCACTAGAGGAGCATCTGCGTCGGACGGGGGAGCTGATGTCGGCGGGGGAGGAGAGGTCACCAGCGCCGAGGGAGCCCGGCGCTGGAATAAGGTAAGCTGCTGAAGGGGCACCCTTCAACCGCTTTGTTTTCCTGACACTATAGTGATCCTTTGAGTTGTGTTAAACTGACATGTTAATATTATCAGCTCTCTCAGTATGAGTTTGCTTCAGCAATGTTAGGACAAGAAACAGGAAAATTATGTCCCATGGGGCCTGTCACTAGCATGAAGTGATCTGTTTCATTTTTCTGTTACATATTACTGTCTAAGTTGCAGCTGATGCTCCTATTCAATTAAATAGTTTAATTTATTTAATTAACTTTTGGAGTGCCTTTTGGTCTGATTTTAAAGAAACATTGCTAGTAACATAATACTACAGCGTGATGTAGTGGGTATAGTGCCTGGGCTGCCCAGGCTCCCACCTGCCAATCTAAGTTGTCAAACTGTTTCATAACAGGAGCAATGTAGTGGTTATGGTGCTTGGGGTGTTCCTTTAACAAATTAGAAACAAATAAATAAATAAATTACACCACAAAATTTAAAAGTTAATAGCATGACAGTAAAAAGAAAAAATCATATCAAATTGAAAAAGAAAATTAAACAATATGGTCTATCCATCCATCAATCAATCTGTCCAGTGCATGTTTTAGAAACAAAATTACTATTTTATTACAGACCCTGAATCTTTGGGACCTTTTAAATCAAAGGGAATTGGCATTTACCCATTCTTGCTCTATGTTACAGACACACATTTGAGCAACTAACAGCTCACTTGTGCACACTGCTGTTTAAAATGATTGGTTAATGTGAAATACATGTTTGTCATTGTATATTAATATAACAACAGACTGTATTCATGATACAGAGTTATTCTCTAAACCTCAAACGTTCAATTCTTTTTCTGGACTTTAAATGCTCCTATTAATTGATTAAATTTTTATCTTTATTGAATAAACCCTGTTATTCTGAATTATTGCATAATAAGAGTGGTTTCTTAGCCAGCACGGAAATGGTTACATGAATGCAATGGAATTAATTTCACAGCTCAATTTCCTAAGAGAATATTTCTAATTATGTCAAAACGACAGAGCAAAAAGTCTTGAGAGAAAACCTTAAACATCTCTAATTAAAAATGACAAACTACCAAACAATACAGAAAATATTACTGAATGTTAGGTAAAAGTCAACTATTAATTGCTCTTTATAAAAGAAAAATAAATGTAAAACCAAAAAAATCATCAATATTTATCGTCTAGACTTGTGCACTCCACTTCCGACATAGGGGATGGGAGGGGGGGGGGGAGAAGAAATCACTGTTTAGTAGATATATACCCCCAATAAATACATGCCTGAATTTTCATGCATGTATTCATTGGGGTTATATCTTAAAAGAGCTTGCAAAGGCTGCAACCTTAATAAGAGTGGAAATTTCTTGCACTGGGGCTGCTTTGTGCTGTGGCCCTCCTGTGGGCCACAGCCAATTGCGTACTTCTGCGACTGGCCAGGGGCTGCAAGAGCGCAGAAACATTCTTCCACCCCGGCCGCCTGATATTCGGCGGCTGCACAGTGTGAAGAGCAGACCAGTCACTCCCCCTTTCCTTCTGCTCGCAGTGCCAGAGGAGCTTTTGACCTCCTTAAGCAGAGAAGATTGTGCAGTTCTGGACTGGAAGACAGCTTAAGGTAGGGGAAGAGGGATTTGGGGTAACCTTCTGTAGTGTAGTGTATTAAATGGGGGTGTGGGGATCGGGAAGCGGGTAGTGTATTAGGGTGGTGGGAGGGTATTGTATTAAATTTGGAGGAGGGAAGTGTGGCAGAGTATTAAATTGGGGAGAGGGAGGAGAATGTATTAAATTGGGGGGGAGGAAGGTAGGGCAGGTTATTAAATTGAAGGGAGGGAGGGAGGTGAGGCAGAGTATTAAATTCGAGGGGAGGGTAGGGAAGTGTATTAAGTTGGGGAGAGGGAGGAGAAGGTAGTGTATTAAAACAGTGTATTAGAGTGGTATGAGGTAGCAGTGTGTTAGAGTGGTGGTAGGGTGGTGGGATGGGGCCAGTGGGTTAAATTGTGAGATGGGAGGGAGAAGGCAGTGTATTAAATTTGGGGAAGGGAGGTTGACGGCAATGCATTAAATTGGGGGAGGGAGCAGTGTATTAGAGTGGTGAGGGGCAGTGTATTAAATTGGGGGAGAGAGGTGGGACAGTGTATTAAATTAGAGTGGAGGGAGGAGGAGCAATATATTAGATTGGGGGGAGGGAGCATATTAGATTTGGGTGGCATAGTCTATGTTGGACTCATTTTTATTTTTTATTTTTGTGACCCACATAAACATAAATCTTGTTCATTTGGCCCATGTTAGCATTTGAGTTTGACATGTTTGCACTACATAGATCATGCTTTCTTTTCCGGGAAGACTGGCAGATATTGTAAAGAAGTGGCTGCCTGACGGAGACTGCCTAGTACATTTGCCAGATTGGGAGGAACATATGCTAAATAAGGATCACTATATATATATATATATATATATATATATATATATATAGAGAGAGAGAGAGAGAGAGAGAGAGAGAGAGAGAGAGAGAGAGAGAACTTCTTAAAATGAGATCACTGTGATCGCTGTAGTCTTATGTACCATACTGTGTATTTCACACAAGCCTATGTTTAACAAGTTACCGATACAGCATTTAATCAGTTAACCCTGCTTTGCCATTTATTGAGTCAGCATGGTTGCCTCTAGCAAATCATCCCCTTTTTTTTTTTTTTTTGCACCTGCCCTTTTTCGTTTACTGTACGCTGCTGATAATAGCAGACAAATAACATCTATCTCATTAGCTGCATTGTAAATGAAGAAAGGTAAATGTGATCCAGCAGATATGAAGAACTTGTTCATTCTAATCGGATTAATATTTGCTCAGATTTCTACAGGTTGGTAACGGTCTTAATTTTAATGAAATACTTTCAGATGACAGTTTCACACAGTGAAGGTTTGTTCTAGAGTCTAAAAGTGCACACAAGGTTTAGAAGCTAAAATAGTCTTAAAAAGCAAAATTATCACTATATCACAGTGTAGATTAGCTGCAAAGAATGAAAACCGTCACAAATTCTCAGTTTTTATGTCAGTCTGGAAGATAATCTTTGGTAAAATGGAATGATATTAGAAATGACTGTGGCATACCTTTTTTATATACACTGATCTGAGACAGCCATTAAAAAGTTTGAAGATCTCTAAGCACAAGTTAAGGGCTTGGGGACATTGTAATAATCAATCAGGCTGTAATTAGTAGTAATACCCATGTTGCACACTTAGAATTTAAATGGGATTATGACAAATGTAATGCCTCGGTCCTGCTTGAGATTTCTTGCCTTTGTACAGTGAAACTCAGCTCCCTGGGTCAAGAGTAGACCTAAAATTGGAACCCCTTGATATTTTTTGTTGGCTCTAGGAGAGTACTACAAGCAACCATTTAAGCCTTATTAGAACTGAACATCCCTTTTACCCTATCTTTGTCTTAATATGGAAAATCTGTTGTTGCTGTACATAACTCCTGAATGCTATAGTTCCCTTTTTTCTGTTAGGGGAATCTCATGACCACTAATATCAGGTGTAGTACATGTCACCACTGTTGTCTCTCTTGGCTGTTGTACATTTGCTTCTGTAAGAATGTTACAAGTTTTGCTCTATAATGTAATTTTTGTCTCTGTTGGTGCGGGTGGGGGCTCTAATTATAATACCAGGGGAGACCTAGTGTCCCCCAGCCCCTATGAGAGTACTGTGGAGACCTAATGTTCCCTCAGCCTCCAACCATGGGCAGCATGTGTGTGTGTGTGTGTGAGGGGGGAGGGGGGGCTCTAATTATAATGCTAGGTGGGACCTAGTGACCCCCAAGTTCCCATCCATGAGTGGTGGGTCACACTTTACTGCTAATACCAGGAGAACCTACTGTGTTCCCAGGGGGTGAGCATGGCATTGTCCACCTCCCCACATATATAAAATGGATCTTTCCTTCTCCAGATGACTAGGGATTCCAAAGTCCCTAGCCACATTAGATATTCTTTACTCTATCATTCTTATAATAGTGCATGTGGGGAGAGGGGGTGGGGGAAAAATCATACTTAACATAAGATGTATTATTTCTTATCGTCAGCCAAAAAAGGGCAAATATAAATAGATCACAAAAAATGACTATTTTTGAGGAGACAGTTGTCCTTATTGTTGAAATTAACTATGAAATAATTTGAATTCTCACTTTAGTAAATAACCCGGTGGGTTCTCAACCCAATAATACTGGATAGGTAGCATTCCATTCCGAGCAGTAACATTAATTTTGAACTTGGAAATAAAAAGATAGTAAAATAAAGAGAGAATAACTGTATTTTTGTGTTTTAGAGTTTTATTAATTATAATGTCTGTATGTCTCTTTTAGCAAAGTCTCTCTCGTGCATTACTTGCACAGGAAGATTTAACTGTGAAGAACCTGCTGCGATGTGTACATCTATAAGGGACGTTTGTCTTTCTGTGAACATAATTATTGAAAATAAAGGTAAGTGTACTTCAAGATTCCGTTAGTAAATCTGTATATTTTATTATTGCAAGATCAGTAACATAAGCAATGAGACTAAGTAAAGCTCTATATGTCTGTCATCCTTAGACCCCATTTCTGGTGAATTAAGTTTTATTGAATTCTCCAGCCTGACCATAATCTAGATTACTTCTAACTGTTCTGCTTTACACCCCACCATCAAATATTTGTGGTTTTTTGACCTCGAAAATTATACTTAGTTTCTATGAAACCCAAAGTGTCAGTTCTGCTAAAACACTGTGCTTGTTATTAATGTGTCATGGCATTCAATCCTACTGTCCTACATTGTGTAGTCTTCCTCTAGATTGTTTTATTTGCTAGAGGACCCATTGTGCCTTTCAGGTGTGCTAGGGCTTACAATTCATAGGGATGTGTTTATTATTATTATTATCACTGCCCCTTAAACTATGGAACACATAATTGTTCAAAATGGAGGACCTAGCAAAAAGCAAGGATTTTTCATGGAATTGACATGGAAATGTTATGACATAGTGTGTAAAGCAAAAAGAATGTAAAGTCTGTTCCACATTCACACCAAAATACAAAAAGCATGGACAAAGCAAGCACTGTGCGTTTTATGTCAAAATCCAAGGGCTCATCCCAACCTGGTCAGTAAATATCTGCTTTAAACTGTTACTACTGGCAACAGCTGGTAGCTAGCTATTACTAGATACTAATTATCTGTAAACCTGTAAAAGATACTAATTATCTGCAAACCTCTAAAAGATATCAATTACCCGTAAACCTGTCAAATACTGTCTCCCATCTTTTTGCTGATTTATAAACTTGCTGCTAATTTTTAATGGCTAAACGCTACTTTTAACGAACAGTGTTTCTTTACAAATTTCACAGTAACGGCAGGGAGTTACCAGCTCAGATAAGGGCTCCCATTATTCTTTACGGGAGCCTCTACCCTCTACTTAGTGAATGGTTTCTGACTGGTTACCAACCCAGTCACTACTCATTATTACCTGCTGCTAACCCAAATATCTTACCATCAACCTTAGAGCATATTAAACCTTATCAAAGAGAAATAAAATAGATCAGCATGCCACGCACAACTTCAAAAATAATATTAATCTTTACATAACTAAAGTGCGTGCGTCAATTTGAAAGCTTCACCGGCATAAAAACGCATCCATATACATGAACATCCACCCAAAAATTAAAGCAAGAATTAGGACCCACAGGAATATCGTACACACGAATACAGAGGACAACAGGTGTTCATAGAATTGTCTAACAACTCCTTAAGTTCGGTTCAAAACAAAACGTAAACAAAAGCTTGAATTTGCACTTTATGTCTGTTCAACAATAATTCACCTCTTTTATATTAAGTGCACCCACACTTGTTATATATCATTTTGTTCAGGAGAAACAGGGCTTTCATTTCATATCAACTATCAACTATACATGAAAAGATTTATTGTAAACAAAATCTTAAAAAAGTATGACCCAGGAATGAGAAAAAGCCCATGATGACATGCCATTAGCAAAAGTAGAGAACCCAGGGTATTCAATATGGGGTATGTCCAGTATTTTTAAGTAGCCACTTAATTATAAACACTAGCCAAAGTTAGCATTCATATTTGGTTTTGTGTGAAAAATGCAAAAAACAATTATGAACTCTAACTTTGGCTAAGTGGCTACTAAAAAAGACTGGACATGCCCCACTTGCAATACATTGGGTTGTCTACTTTTGCAAATGGTATGCCATCATGGGGGTCATTTTCATTCCTGGGCTACCATAAGGTCTCAAAGGCAACATGACCAGTCTTGCAAATTTCAATGTGTATAAACATTATGAAAAATGTACCGTGTACCACTATAAAACCTGTACATGGGGGGTACTTTTGTACTCGGGAGACATCGTTGAATACAAGCATGTGTACTATATTGCAGTAACAGCTAACAGTATTATGACATTCACAGTTAAAATGTCATGCAGAACTAAAAAAAATAAATCAAGGGGGTGGAGCCTGACCGCTGAGCCGAGAAGACGCAGAAGAGGACTGCTTCTGCTCTTTCAGGCAATAATCGCCACAAACAGTGCATAAATGACCCAAAAGGGACACTATTCTAGAAGTGAACTCACGGGGCACACACTGATACCAAGTATGCTGTCATCCCTTCAGAAATCACCAGTGTGACGCTTGCGGCCTACCAAATGGGTGTACGTGTGGGAGACGACCGCTCCCTGGCTGCACCCAAAAGCAAGAAGCTGGCAACTGGGCCCTCGTTCCCCCCCTATGGACCAGCAGGGGTTGTCCTGGTCCAGAAATACCCCTACAGGCTCAGGGGAAGCATCCTCAATTGGCACCAGCCAAACCCAAAATAGCGGCGGATGCCGCTGGGCCATGAGACACGACACAGAGGCCTGACATTTTCGCAAGGCTGGATGCCATATTCGCAGCCTTCTGGAGGAAACTGACAGAACGGCATGCCTGGGCACATACTTACCGAAGGCACCTTCCTCACGCCCCCAACCACAGGGCACACCTCACAGACAGAAGCGAACACGAAGATAGCGCCGCCCACAGCGACACCTATAGCATGAGTACATACCCACGTGGCTTCGACCACGGAAGACGACTCTGTCACGAATAACCAAGCCACCTTCATCCAAGCACACCACCATGTCAATGCTCAAAACAAGATCCAGTGACTTGGGTGGCAATAATTCCCAGGACGGCTAACTAAGGCTGCACGACCGCTCACAAGCCTGGGGCCGGAGACATCCCTCACCCTGCTACACTACAGCTGATCCAAGCATAAACTCTTCTACACACCACCTGCCCTTGAGGGCGACAGGGATCAGCTGATCTAATATGTGAGCACACATCCAGAACTTTAATCTGTATAAGGGGGCGGCAGACTGAGGGTCAAGCTACAGCAGCATAGTTATTTTTTTTTGTTGTTCACCAAGTTCGTATTATAAGTTATATATGCCTTTATCATGCCTACATTATCGTATCGAATCAGGCCCTATGTTTGGCACAATAGGGTGGAGTGCCTCATCACTTCCTAGATGCCTGTAGTGCTAACTGTATAGCATCTGGTTTAGCAATTCAGCATGCTACTAATCTACGTCAGTCATGTAACTTTATTTCGTGTTAACACACCTCTTGCTAGTGTTACTCGCATTTACTAATCTCCTGACTTACTCAGCATTACTCTTACATTTAAAAAATGTGCAGTTTAATCCTGTCCCAATGTTATCATCTTTAAAAGGTCTGTAACTGCTATTGTGGCATTGCAGACGTGTTTGTACCTCTTTTTGCACAATAAAAATAAAAAATAAAAAAAATAAAATTAAAACAATTTTTAATTTCTCACATATTTTAAAATATTTTTGTTCCTATTAAATTATGTTTAATATATAAATATTTGATTTAAAATAAAAGCCCTGTTTCTCGTCAACAAAATTATATATAATAAGTGTGAGCATTTAAAATGAAAGAGGTGAATTATGGTTGAACAACATGAAGCGCAAATTCCAGGTTTTGTTTACGTTTTGTTTTGATCTCAACTTGTAAAACTACCTCCATCCTTAAGGGGTTAAATTCTATCTGTATCTTTACTGTAAGAAATGAAGCTTTTTTAGTTATGAAGGGTGCTAATCAAATTTAAATCTCTTTAGTTGGAAAAACGGCACCTCAAAAGGGATATGATAGCATTATACAAATATATTCAGGTCCAGGGGTGGGCTGGGCCGGGGGGCAGGGAGACAATTGCTCCCAGGCTGCCCTAAATAATTAGAAAAATGGCCGCTGCAGCGCCTGTCCCTGGCTCCAGGAGGAGGCAGGTACCGCGCGGAGCAGGCCAATGGCCTGTCACAGGGAGCCCAGCAGGTGGCCAACTGGCCATCTAGGGCGCCCTGGTAGCAAGGCCTGCTTGTCCCAGATGGCAGTTGCCTACTCTGCAGCAATATACTGGCTGCGTGAGGAAGGGGGCAGGCGGCGATGAGGGAGCACTGCCTCTGCTGATGATCTTCCTGCTCCCTCGCGCGCCCTCTCTGGTGATGCCGGGAGCCGGAATATGACGTCATCACTAAACTGCGCGAGGGAGCAGAGTGGAGCAGGAAGATCATCGAAGACACTGGACCCCAGGGAGAGGCCCCAGAGAACTCTTAAAGGTAGGCGCAACAATAAATAAAATTAATTTGTGAGGGTGTGTCTGGAAGTGATTGTGTGTGTCTGGAAGTGAGGGTGTGTGTGTCTGGAACAAGTGAGTGTGTGTGTGTGTCTGGAAGTGTGTGTGTGTGTCTGAAAGTGAGTGTGTTTGTGTGACAGTGTGTGTCTGGAAGTGTGAGTGTGTGTGTCTGGAAGTGAGTGTTTGTCTGTCAGTAAGTGTGTGTATCTGTCTGTCAGTAAGTGTGTGTATCTGTCTGTCAGTAAGTGTGTGTGTGTTTGTCAGTGTGTGTGTGTCTGGAAGTGTGTGCATGTGTGTTTGGAAGTGAGTGTGTGTGTCTGAAAGTGAGTATGTCTGTCAGTAAGTGTGTGTGTCTGTCAGTAAGTGTGTGTGTTTGTGTCTGGAAGTGTGTGTGTGTGTCTGTCAGGGCCGTCTTTCTGCATGGACATGCTGGGCAGTTGTCCGTGGGCCCCACAGGCATGGGGGCCCTACCGCGCTGCCCAGCATGCCCGGCCAACAGGGGACATCCTTTGATCTCCCCTGCCGGCCAATGGAGAGGTGGCCCTGTTTTCTGGCCTTGGGCCGGTGAGGGAGTTCTCCCATTAATCGGGGAGAGAGGTAGCTAGGACCCAGGGCAGCAGGACAGGCCGACCTGTAAGGCAGGCCGCTCCTCCCACAAGCAGGGTGTGTGGAGCGTTGCCGCGCATTACCATGGCAATGCTCCACACAGCACTCACTGCGTGCAGGAGGACAGAAGACAGCCTGCAGCCAGACAAGCTGCAGGTTGTACAGAATTCACAACTGGACCACCAGGGCTGGCTGTGTCCCAGCCTCTTTCACCAAAGGTAAGAAGAATGGTGGGGGGGGCATATAGATTTTATTTAATGTATAGTAGTATTAAAAAAACAAAAAACATTTGCTACCTGCACCCCTCAAATACACACACAGCACCCAACACACATATATCACTCCACACACATGCAGCACCCCACTCACATAGCACTCCACACAGCACCCCACACACATCACACCAGTACACACATACACTGCACCCCTCACTGCAGTGTGTGTGTATTCAGCAGTCTGTGTGTGTGTTCAGCCGTCTGTGTGTATGTTTGTGTGTGTTTGCATTCAGCGGACTGTGTGTATGTATTCAGCACTCTCTATGTGTACTTAGTAGTCTGTCTGTGAGTACTCAGCAGTCTGTCTTTGTGTGTCTATTCAGCAGTCTGTATGCGTGTATTCAGCAGTCGTCATGTGTATGTATTCTGCAGTCAGTGTGTGACTGTATTCAGCAGTCTGTGTGTATGTATGCATTGCATTTGTTGGAGGTATTTCTAAACATATTCTTCATTGTATCTATAATTTACATTTTTATTCCTGTAAGTTGTGTAGGCAGGGCCCCAGTGCACTGCTTTTCCTGGGGGCCCATAATGCTGTTAAGATGGCACTGGTGTCTGTCAGTGTGTGTGCCAGTAAGTGTATCTGTCAAGTAAGTGTCTTTCAGTGAATGTGTGTATCTGCCTGTCAGTGTGTGTGTGTGTATGTGTCTGTCTGTCAGTGAGTGTTTGTCTGTCAGGGTTTGTGTGTGTGTGTTATTGAGAGTGAGTGCCAGTGTGTCTGTCAGCAGGGCCAGCCTTTGAGGTGTGCAAGCTGTGTGGTCACGTAGGGCGCCATGACAACAGACGTGCCTGGTGGCCAACACAGTACACAAGTTTGGGACACCAGCATATTTAATTTAAACGATTCCCTGGTGGTCCATTGGTCCGCACCAGCAGTAGGTGCAGTCAGATCATATCCTCTCCCTTGTGGTTCCGGTGCTCAGTTAGTGAGTCAGAGCACAGGCTCAGAGATTCTCAGCCTGCGCTCTAACAACATTGAAAGTTGGAGCCGCAAAGGAGTGGGTATGGCAAAAGAGCTACTGATTAGCATAACATCAATATCCTTTATAAGACCAGGAAAAGGTGGGCATGGATGGTGAGCTGATTTGGGGGTGCAATGGGCCACTCGACTGGATTTGCCCCCCAGGCCTGAGGCTGCCAGCCCTCCCCTTTCAGGGCCAATACAAGCCATTGTCTGGAAATCTATTCATAAATAGGGCTGTACATAGGACAAGAGGTCACACATTTAGACTGGAAGAAATTAGATTTAGTCTAAGGCAAAGGAAAGGTTTTTTTACAGTAAGAACAGTAAGGATGTGAAATTCTCTGCCTAAAAAAGGTGGTTTTATCAAAATCTTTACATATATTTAAACAGATATTGGATAAATACCTGCAAAACATTACATACAGGGATATACATTTTAAATTAGTGAGGTAATGGCTTCTTGATCCAATCCTGGAACTGCTATTCTGCGGTCAAGAAGGATTTTTTTCCTAGTTTGTTGCACAATAGGAAGCGCTTCAGACTGTTTTTTTTTTAGTTTTTCCCGAAGTGAGGTTTCTTAATCTGTGGAATATTCTGCTAAACGTGAAACCACAGGCAGGGCCTAGACATTTGTGGGATAACTCGTGCCAGAGCCTTCTCCACAGAAGCGGTGGCTCAATGTCTGGAGTTCTGATGTTCTGCGCCTATAAGGGATAGCAGCAGTCAATGAGAAACGTGCATGTAAGGAAACAATATAATACTAGCTAAAGTATACACTTTTACAAAAACATTTTTTAACTGAGGCTCTAAACAAAACGCCACAGCTGGAAAACAACCTCTCTTGCTTTGGTGCTCAACAAGAGTTGAATGGGTAATTTAGGGCATAACATAAATTTAAACATCAATAAAGGCAATCCCCACCAGAGGGCTAGACATCAAAGAAATTACCACCATTAGAATCTCATGATTTAATGGTATTAAAAAAAGCACTTTATTTAAATCATTTTTGAGTATTGTAAAAAGAAACACAAAAGGTGAAAGGTGAAACAAAGAAATAAACATACATTTGAAGTGAAAATGTGTGTAATTGTTTAATTAAAAAAAAAAAATTATGGGCGAGGAGACAGAAATGTATATCTGGCTAATTCACAAATGCAGTGCTAAACACGTCATTGATTCTAGTATACATGATATCGAAACATTTCCCACAAATTACTTGCAACTTTGTTATGGTTGCAGTATGGTGGGATACGTTCTTCGCAACAGTAACTTAAAAAAAAACAAAAAACACTACATTAAATCTAAATTGCCATTGCTAAGATAATGTGTAAGATAATCATCAAGTTGAATAGCTTTATTAAAAGGCTTGTTAAGAAAAGGTTGGTCAGAGTCAGGGCTGAGTAAAAAATTAGAAATCTACCTAGAAAAATAAGAGACTTTAACAACATGAAGCCTCCTATTATGTAATAAAATGATTCCCTATAAGAAAAACAAAGTGTAAAAAAACTAAAGCTTAACAGTTTGCGTCTGGTTAGTCTCCATTAAGATCACATGTTTTAGCTCACTTGTGCTATATCTGAAAGATTAGCCTGTTAATCTTGACTTGGCCTTTGTCTGGCAAATATTTTACAGTCACTCACACTTTCCATGTGTAACGACAGAAAGTAAAAAAATATACTTTTAGTAGAATAAACTTTTGCTCATAAAAGTTTAAAGGTGCAATCTTGTTTTTTCAGAAATGAAAGACTCGGTTTACACATTTGTGAGAAGCTGTAGTGACCCAAGTTTTTGTGGAAATGTTGGGAAGATGACATCGCCCAACATCACCGTTTCCTTCACCACATCGTGCTGTAACACAGATTCCTGCATTCCGCCAGCACCGATTTTCCGTAAGTATCTTGATGGAGATCTCATTAGCAGAAATTAACATCAGTTTTGTGGCCAACACGTTCCAAACCAGAGGTAAAAAAAAGAGTAAATTACAAATATGTGCTATTATTAATGGTAAATATAGGAATACAATATGCATTATATAAACACACATTCTATTTGTTGTGTGCTATTTCTGATTTTTTTTTTCTGTTATATGTTTGATTGAGTGCAAGGACTAACAAAAAAAAATACCTTAAAACTTGATGTTTCAATTTGAGGAAGATTGTCCCCCAGTGGTAACACATGCTTTAAGTCACATTCTAGAACTTGAAGGTTCTTTCCAGCAGAGCCCACAGTAGAGATTCCATCTGACTATGTCTGTTCGTGTCTAGTGAAATATAAGATCTCTAAAGCTTCTGATATTAGGCAAAATAGCAAATCCTTTACAAGGATCACCCATTTTTCTTCTTCTCCTTCCTCAGAAAGATGTGAGATACAGGAGCTACACCAATAGATTACAAATAATAAAATATTAATATAGTACTATCATCCTGGGAGTAATCTGCACCTTTCTTAGTGTCCCTCATCCCTTTACCTCCAAGCTTTTACCAGCAGCCACCTATTCTGATACATACTCTCCAGTTACTACAAGGTCCTCCTGGCATACAAGATATCTATTGTGTCATGTGCATTACAAGAGCACTTACATAAAATTATACATTTCCACTGATACTCACAGCAGTTCCAGCTGCCAATTTTCATGATGTCCTTGGGTGGCTACCTTTAGGAGATAATTCCATGATATAAGCCACATTGTATGGTTATGTCCAGAGAATTCTGCAGTGTCTTGCTACTGTTATGTAATAGAACCTTACTGTTTTGCTTTATCCCACTACCTTCAGGTGATATATAATCACCAGATTATGTCCAACTATTCCTTGGGTCACAACATTATGGCCATTTACTACTAGTACTAAAGATGAAACTGCCATAGGTGTGTGAAGAACATTTCATTTAGATGTGCACCAAGAAATTATTTCCCTTAATTCTTTTAATATTATGTAACGAAAATATTTATTAAAAAGACACTCCCCTCCAGAAACTACAGTCTGCTGTCATCTGTATGGTGTCAGTAGAGCCCCTACGCTAGAGTTGTCCCCCGTCAGTTTAGAGCCCATTCACCACTCACTTAAATTAATATTTCAGTAAGTGGCCCCCTTTTAATTCAGGCCTACCCATTCATCGGCTTTGGCACACCACAAACAACTAGCTTTTACTCAAGTTTATTAATTTCATAAAGCTTTTGTCCCTGACCACCCTGATATATTTATATATTACACCAGTATTTCTTTCTTTTTTTGTATACATTTGCTACATATTTGTATACCTTCCTGATTGTATACATCTTTAACTGAAATATTTAATCTGTCAATGCTTCCTACAGCTGAAAATGAGATCATTTACAACCATTCCTCCATGAAACCGAATCTGTGCCCTACATGTTTAGCCACTGATACTAATTTGTGCGTAGAGAAATATGCCATGCCATGCAATGAAAATGCTACACAATGTGCACGCTTTTCACAAACAGTAGGTAACGGTAAGTTATATGTAAGTAATAAAGGTACTTATTGGTGTAAAATAATAGTGAACTTCCTGCTTACTAGACGTGCTTTTGTCAGAAGAGCTGCAAAATGAATAACATTTTGATTTCCAGTCATTTAGTTAGAAAAACAATATAAACTCATTGATTAAATGTAATTCTGTTAATTTGGTAAACACACACGCACAACGTAGCTACCAATGACAGTGCAGCAACTTTGCGATGGTGCATTCCATGACAGTGCAGCAAACTATGTCTTGTGGCCCCAATCATGGACCAATCATCAAGCACTGCTAGTTGATACAGATTGAGTGTTTTATCAGCCAATCAATGCCAGGTTTCTGCAGAATTGGGCCAATCTTAAAATGTAAAGGCTTGTCTTGAATATTTGTATGTATACTAGGACTGCCTGTCAGTTTTTCACTGTCGGTTTTTGGATTGTGTTCTGTTTTCTTGCATTAGTCAGTCTTACTACGGAGTGAAATTGAGCTAGCTGGTGTAGATCAAAAGAGAGAGAATTAATCGTATAACTAGTTTTAACCACTGGAGATGAATTCTCTCTATTATCCAACATTTTGATATAGTTAGTTAAGATTTTATTTTGTTTGTTTGTTTTAATTGTAGAATAGCCAAGGAAGGTGTCACATTCCCAACCATCGCTACTAATTACCTGCGAGCCTGCTGTGTCCTGCAGCCAGAACTTGTGCACCTCAGATGCTTGCAGCTCTGTCACGCTGCACTTTAACTGCTGCTCCTCTGGCTCTCCTCGTTGCTACTTGGTGCCAGGCTCTGCATGGAGCTGCTGCAGCAAGTTGGCAGCGCAACATGCCAGAGGGCTTATGGAGGGCCAGTGGGAGGGTGGCCTGGACAGACAAAGGGGAGGGACAGGGGAATAGCAGAAATGGCACCCAATTTCTTTAACTCCTTCATTGGAGCTCCATCTTCAGGGGAGTGGGAGCTGATAATGTGATCAGCTCTTAGTATAAATAGCCAAGATGTTCCAGTGCTTGCTTCTGTCTCCTGACATCCTAGTTCTCGTTTATGGTTCCTGATCCTAGTCTTGGTTCCCTGTTCTTGATCCTGGTCCTTGTTCCTGGTTCCTGATCCTGAGTTTTGGTTCCTGATTCTTGCTCCTGGTTCCTGTTCATGATTTCTGGTAATACTTCTCAGTTTCTGACTTTGACTACGCTTCCTGTTTCCAATTTTTGACTTCTGGCATCTTGCTCTCTATTTGTGGATCCCCTGGTTTCTGACTTTCAGTTTGACTCTTAACCTTGCTCCTCTGCTGCCAGCAACACCTTTTAACCCCTTAAGACCGGAGGGCGTACTATTACACCCTATTTTAGGCGGCTCTAAATGCCGCCAGGCGTAATAGTACGCCCTCCGTTTTTTTCTAACTTACTGTATATACTTGTGTATAAGTTGATCTCATGTATAAGTCGAGTGCAGTTTTGTGACCAACAATTGTGAAATATGCTATGCCTCGTGGATAAGTCGAGGGTAAAACTTGGGGCTATGAAATTCTGTGATTTTTATAATTATATACACACACACTCATACAAACAAACACTCTGCATTATATATACACACTCATACAAACACACACTCTGCATTATATACACACACTCTGCAGAGTGTGTGTTTGTGTAGTGTGTGTGAACTAGGTGGGGGGAGGGCATTTTTATTATTTTAATTTTATAATATTATTATTTTTTTATTATTTTAATTTTTTTTGTCCCCCCTCCCTGCTTGTTAACTGGTCAGGGAGGGGGGCTATCTTAATCCCTGGTGGTCCAGTGGCATGGGCTGTGAAGTGGGGGGGCCGGCAGGAAGCATTTACTTACCTTTCCTGCAGCTCCTGTCAGCTCCCTTCTCCTCCGTTCCGGTCAGCTCCACTGTAAGTCTCGCGGTCTGGTTGCCGCGCGGATCGTTGCCATGGCTCTGACGGCCGCGGCTCTCTAAGTTGCCATAATACAGACAGTGACTCGAGTATAAGTCAAGTGGGGGTTTTTAAGCACAAAAAATGTGCTGAAAAACTAGACTTATACTCGAGTATATACTGTACCCGGTCGCCGGCAATCCCACGCCTGCGATTGCAGTTGGGGGGACTCCCAGGGAGCCCCCCGCGGCGGATCCTCCATCCTGCAGCCCCCCCGGACAATCACATGGCCGGGATAGCTGCCTGCTGTATTGCCAGCAGGGGGACTGCCTGTAATGACAGGTAGTCTCCCTGCTGGCTGGAAATAAAATAAAATTAAAATTAAAAAGTGTAAAAAAAATATTATATACTTAGATCATATATATATATATATATATATATATATATAATCTAAGTATATATATATACACATATACATACACACACATACACTGTCTAGGTGTATTTTACTATTAATATATAATTATATATATATTAATAGCAAATTACACGTAGACTGATACTGATTAAATATATATATAATTATTGTTATATGTATATTTAGATATAATATAAAAAAAAAAAATATGTAAATACGTTAAAAAATAAAATTAAAAAAATAATTAAAAATAAATAATTAAGAAATATATAGATGTGTGTTATTTCGTTCTAACTGTATTGTGATATTAATATGTATATATATATATATATCAAAATACACGTAGAACAAAATAATATATATATATATCTATATACATAAATATATACGTATATATCACTATATATATACCTATATATAAATAAAAATATTTTAAAAATATGTATATATATATATATATCTATATATATATATATATACATATATTAATTCTACATATATATTTATGTAATATTTTTACATAATTAGGTATCTTAATTAATTACAATTAGCGGGACCTGCCTGACAAACCATGTCGAAAGTAAAGGGAATTTAATTTGCTAGCACTATATTTAACCCTATAACTTTCCAAGACACCATAAAACCTGCACATGGGGGGGTACTGTTCTACTCGGGAGACTTCGCTGAACACAAATATTAGTGTTTCAAAACAGTAAAATGTATTACAACGATGATATCGCCAGTAAAAGTGAAGTTTTTTGCATTTTTCACGCACAAACAGCACTTACACGGACAATATTATTGCTGCAATACTTTTTACTGTTTTGAAACTCAAATATTTGTGTTCAGCGGAGTCTACTGAGTACAACATTACCCCTCATGTACAGGTTTTATGGTGTTTTCAAAAGTTACAGCGTCAAATATAAGGCTTGTGTTTCATTTTTTTCACATTAAAATTCACCAGATTGGTTATGTTGCCTTTGAGACCCTGTGGTAGCCCAAGAATGAAAATTATCCCTATGATGGCATACCATTTGCAATAGTAGACAACCCAAGGTATTGCAAACAGGGTATGTCTAGTCTTTTTTAGTAGCCACTTAGTCACAAACATTGGCCAAAGTTAGCGTTAGTAAACGCTAACTTTGGCCAGTGTTTGTGACCAAATGGCTACTAAAAAAGACTGGACATACCCCATTTGCAATACCTTGGGTTGTCTACTATTGCAAATGGTATGCCATTATGGGTGTAAATTTCATTCCTGGGCTACCATAGGGTCTCAAAGGCAACGTAACCAATCTGGCGAATTTCAATTTCAAATGTAACGTGCTATATTTGACCCTGTAACTTCCCAAAACACCATAAAACCTGTACATAGGGGGTACTGTCTTACACGTGACACTTTGCTGAATACAAATATGTGTATTTTATTGCAGTAAAAGCAAACAGTATTATGACATTGACAGTTAACTGTCATGTAGAACTAAAGAAATTAAATTATGTTTCATAGCTAAATATTTGATATTAAATGAAAGCCCTGTTTACCCTGAATAAAATGATATATAATAAGGGTGGGTGCATTTACTATGAAAAAGGTGAATTACGGTTGAACAGACATGTAGCGCAAATGCCAGGTTTTGTTTGCATTTTGTTTTGTTCACAACGTGTACATTTGGCTCCGTCCTTAAGGGGTTAAACACCTGATCTAGGCAAAAATAATGGGGGTTTAGTTACAGTATATGATCATACATTGCATAATCCTGCCTCAACATCAATGTACCCCATCTTTGGCAGGTCCTACTCTAACAACCTGTCTGCTCTTATGAGATTTAACCACTTATTTGGGGAACAAATTCCATCAGGGTCTCTCTGAAGTGCATGGTTTGCCCTAGAAGAGCATTAAACCAATATGCTAGTCATTGGTGATGATAAAACGCCACTATAATTAAAAAATGCCCAGGCTCAAATTTTTTCCCCAGTCCAGAAAATGAATTTATTGGTGGTACTTGACGTATGACAGGTTTCCTAAAATTTACACCACTCAGCATTTAGTTGGAAATATGTTGTTGAAAAAGGCACTATGATGCAAATATGGTGGGACTGCTTTATAATTAAACTGCTCTAATATCATAAGAGAATGAACAGATATCACAGATTTGCCTACCAAACTGTCCACTTATTTCTTCCTTCTTTTCCCTCCAAACCTACACAAAGCATGTAAACAACTAGCAGCACTAATAATACTAGCAGCCAGAAATCGGATTGCACTTACAAATAGCTTGCCCCGTAACACACGATTGATAGACAAAATAAATCAATATTATACCTATAAACACATGTCTATAGATACAACCTTGCAACTTGAGTCCTTTAATGACAATTGACAATCATGGACTGTATGTACTTAATGCACTCATTAAAACAAAAAAGAAAATTAAGTTCTGATAGTCAACAAACAGAGCAAAAAATAAATAAATCCACAAGAGACCATTACACCATGACTGAAACAGATAGATACCCTTGACTAAGAGCATTATTTTGTTATTACTACTCTCGTCTTAGTTCCTTCTTTTCCTTTCTATACCCCACCTTTCCTAAATAATATACACATGTCGACACCATAAACTCAAACTGCTGTGTTA